GCCCGAGGTGAAGGCCTAGGCATTTAGGCTAGTGTATAGCCACTCCCACATGCCTCACCCCAAAAAGGGCCTAGGCGAGTTTTAAAACTAGTTTTTTAAAACACTGACTAGTAGTTTTAAAGAAATTTGTAGATGGTCCTTGTGACCTAAAGGTATTATGTTCCCCCCTTTATCCCCAAGAATAAACCCAGCTGTCAATGGATTACAGCAAATGAAAGCATATATGTATGGTAATGTTCCTTCCTTATTTTGTCTTGTTAGGTTGATAAGGCTTTGCAAAGCATGGAAGAAGAAGCTGAGCGTATATACAAGGATGAACGTGGATTGCTCCGTGATGATGAGGCTGCATCCACAAGAGATGCAATGTGAGTTTTTGTAATGTTGCTTTTGTTTTATTTTATCTGATGGAAAATTTTTAGGCTGCTTTATGCTATCTGTATTGGACCAGTTGTATATGTGCTTCTCTGTTCCAGTACTACTTTTGTCTGTTGCATTAGGCAATCTGTACATTTTGCTGTTACCATTCTTGGAATCAAGTTGCGAAGTATGCTCCTGCTCGAGTAAGTTTAGCGGCCTGATATGGACATAGGAAATAGATTGTTTGGGTGTGAACTAGCCAATTATTGTTTCTTTACTGGGATTAATCCGTTTATTGACAATCCTGTAAGAGGTTTTGTCTAGTCCTATTGGCATTATGGTGAAAAGTTAGTAGGATAACCATTTTGGCATGTTGATTGCTCTGTCACATAAGTGTATGCACATAGTACATACGCACGCAGACTACATTCTTTCTTCCTGTTTTCCTCCCTTTTGGGTCTTGCTCGCTTTTTGTAGTTTATAAGCATGCCACTGGTCCTGAATTTTTTTTTCTGTATGCACATATAAGGGTCCTCGGCTATTATTGTTATGGTTTCAATCACAGGTATGAGCAAGCTGAGTTTGTAGAGAGGGAACTAGAGCAGGTGACAGAACAGATCAAATCAATTATTCAGACCTTAAATGCCAACCAGGTAACTATTTCAGTTTAGTGTTATACTTATTAAGAATCTTTGACCACATAGTTGATGATTATAATAATGTTTTCGTTTTGTTTAGGGAGGGGAACTTGATACAAATGATGGTATGGCTCCGTTAGATGTGGTTGTCCGAATCTTAAACAATCAGCTTAGCTCTTTAATGTGGATTGATGAAAAGGTTAGTATCTTTTTGCATGACTTTTTATAAGTTATTGTTGTTAGTATCTAAAGAGGGTGCACTGTGTCCTCGGTTTTATTAGTAACTAGGAGTAAGATACACGGTATGAAGAGTTTAAGATTATCCGACTCCCCTTTTTGTATGCATGGTCTTAATTTATGAGAATGCCCTTGGGATCCACAGTATACTTCGGTTTTATTAGTACCAATAGTAGATTCAACGTTTTCATCAAAATCTTTTGTACTGTTTGCTTGAAAAAAAATCCCCGTAATTTCTCTCATTATTTGATATTTCATCAGTATTTTGGTCCTGTGGGAGAAAACAACGTAATGATTACAACAATTGAAGAAAAGTTTTTTTTTTAAATATGTGTACTGTTTCATCTACATGCTTGAGATCTGGTTTCATTTTTAATGGCAACACTGACCTTCATCCAATCCATCAGGCCGAAGAATTCTCCTCGCGAATTCAGAAGCTCGCCAATGAAGGTCCTGCTGCAGATCGCGAATTAATGGCTCCAAAATACTGGATGTCGTGATCATTGGAATTGTAAACCACCTTCAATTCCCCCACACATCAGTTTCTAAGTTTAGTGTATGTTAAATACTCTTCGTGATAACCATTTGTGGTGCATAAATGTTCAGATATACAAATTTCTATCGACATTTTTGTGATGTTTACTTCTGTGTAATTGACTGCTCTATGAATCCACCATCGCACGGAAAAATCGTACGTGGCGGAAGCACCACCCCTGGGTGTTACCGATCACAAATATTAACACATGATGGCGATCGGTTTATTTTCTCCCTCAAAAGATAGTTTGCGACTTTATTCTCACAAAACAGTGTCTGAAGTAATGCATGTGCACGAATGAGAGCGAGTTATGATCGATGTGATTTGTACAAACATGTTTCCGGAGCAGATCCGGCGATCAAGCTCTGCGCAATCGTGTGACGACCACAATTAAGAGGATAACAACGGTGAGAAGCAACGAGGATCGAACTTTTTCTTCAAACTGATCCTTGTCGTTGGCCGTCGGGTTCTTTTCCCGCAGAGTCTCCGGCGGCAGAAATATATCAGTCACAAGTGACTGAAACTGCTCAATGAGCTCCATAACTTTTGCTCTTGTGATGTCCATAATCCACCTTATAACGCGTTTAGCGAATTCTGGCTCTTGGTTTGAACTCTGAGGCAGCAGCCCTTCATTCCCACACACAGATAAATCTGTACAAATGTATATAAATTGGTAAAACTAAATTAGAAAGTTAAGCTAAATTTCAACTTAATTATCCTAAAACATGGTTAAGATGCTAACACACCAGGTAAATTGAGTTTAAGGTTGCCAGAAACGCATACCGGAGGAGGGAGGCTGTCGGAGCTTCTTAACCAACTCATTGTTGGTAACCGCATCCCATAGGGCTCTATCAGACGACAGGGAAAACACCATCCTCTACACTCGAGTTCGATTTTTCAAGTAACATTGAAGGAAGAAAAATAACCCGAAAGTTAAAAATAAATAAATAAACCCTTAAAAAAGCAGAGTCGAATCACTTTTGGGATAAGCATTTAGTGGCAAAAACAAGGCAGCACCTTAACAGAAGGATCAGTTTGCAACGATTGGAAAGCATCGTAAACTTTTCTGTGTCCATAAGATAACAACTTTCTTGTAACACAAGAATCTAATATCGGCTGAAGCCACTGCAACTCTGACTGAGACGAACTAGTTATTCCCTGCAGAAAACTGCTCAACAAGAAAACACGATCAGAAATATTCAATCGCTTACGCCTCGGTTTTTACATCCATTTCTTCATTCAACATTCGTTGAATTTAGCGAGTTATTGGTTCCAACGCAAATCCTTAACACCAAAACAGACCATAGTATTAGTTCGTTTTGATATAATTAATAAGATAGTTCCTGAACCCAATTTTCTCTCCCTTCTTTTTCATTAACAAGAAATTTCCCTAAAAGCTTCATCGGTTTACCAAAACATAAAGTTAAAATATGGTTAGACAAATTATATCATTAGAAAACTACCTAAACCAATAAGAAAATCAAGCTAATTAGCCTGGTTATTTTCAAATTTAACGTTTACGAAGAAAGTTGAAGTTCCAATTATTTATAAGCACATGCAAGGTACCTTGATTTTCCGACGTGGGATTCAAGGCCCATGAATTTGAAATTGTTTCATGAATACCACATTCTCACTTAATATAGGTCTAGTAAAATTGTGTTTGACAGCCTAGAAAACATAGTATTTCTGTAAAATTAATAGTACTCGTCACCTGAGAAGAGCAAGGATTGCATTTTCGACTTCGAATCGGGACGGAACTGGACCAAAAACGGAGCTCGGCAACGACGTCCGACTTGCTCTCTTGTCTTGTTCATGTTTTCTGCAGGTCTCACTCCCAGAGTCACAGAAGCAGTATGAACAAGTGCACGAGGGTTTGATGGGTCCCACTTGAACACTGCTACTGGATGGAACTGGAAGATTGTTGGAGGAGGAGGAGGAGGAAGAAGAAGAATGTCTGACGTGGATGATAGGCATGGTTCCTCCTCCCATGGCTAATTGGCTTATTGGCTAATTGGCTATGGCTTCCTTTTTCTTAATTTCTTCACTATCTAGTTTCTTGTTAGTGTTGGTTTTCATATCTACACGTCAACGATTCAACACCTTTCTCTTGTAATACAATATAACCCATCTACAAGCCCATGCTCATAGCTTTTGGGCCGGGGACAAGGACATTTCTGATTTTGTTGTAAATGTGGGTCCATGCCTACAAGTGAAATAGCGCAATTCTCCCCAACGCACTATTTTTCACGAGTGAGCGGTTAAGATTTAAGATAATAAGATTTGGTTAAATCTGGATGTTTGCTTTTTGTGTCTTGATGCGCAGGAGAGCATCACTTAGGGAAACAGTTGCATCTTATTTGGAAGTACTTCTGGAAAGGCTAAAAGTGTTTCCTAACAACCAAAACATTTTTTAAGTACGTTTGATAAAAAAACTTATAAGCATTTATGGGTAGTAGACGCTCTTCTATAAAATATGCTTTATTAGGAAACACTTTGATAATTGATTCAATAAAAATATCAGCATGTTTATAATAAAAATACATCTAGCAAAAATGCTTATGAGCACATAAGCTTATAGAGAATCAATTCCAAACGGGTTGGAAATAGTGTTGTGGTCGATGGATTTTGCTTCATGTACATAGGAAGATGATTTTCACACATCAGTTTTAACTTCTTAACTACCGTACTTTTTTTTTATGTGGCCGTCAAATTCAATAAACCAAACGGTAACAAGACATAATTAAATAAGAATATTTGAGAAGTTAAAACAGGTGTGTGCTTATCATTCCTGTCATGTGATACAAAGATGAATACTGAGTTGTAACAGTGTGTGCGGTGGATGGTTAAAAGAGTGAAATAAAATTTTGGAGTAATTTTAGTTTCCCGGGTGCGTTTGGTACGTGGGACGGGACGGGACGGAATGGGACGAGGCGTTCCGTCCCGCGTTTGGTGCGCCAAAAATGGGTGGAACAGGCTGTTCCACGGAACAGATTTTGGGTGTTTTTGCGTCCCACCTCCTCCCCCTGGAACGGGTTTGTTCCACGTCTGTGGAACACAATCTTTTACCATTTTAAGACAAATATACCCCATGTCTTTTTCAAAAATTACACCTTCGTTCCGTCCCGTTCCGTCCCGTCCCGTCCCGTCCCGTTCCGTCCCGTCTGCGTACCAAACGCACCCTGGGGAACAAAGGACACGTGGAGTGTTACGAACATGGCCCATGGCGTTCGAGAGTGAATGAAGAACCGAAGACGACGCCTTGCGTTCAGAAACAGATTTGGACACAATTCCTAAAAAAAATCCTCCACATTTTGGAGTAATTTTTCCGTTTCTTCAATCTCAAGGTACATTTTCCCTCTGTAATTTCCATCTTATTTGATCAAATAATGTGTGTGTGTGTGTGTGTGTGTGTGTGTGTGGATATATATATGTATGTATATGTATATTTGTATATATGCGTGTGTTTATGTAGATTGATATGAATGTAGAAGAAGGAGATGGCAGAAGGGAATCCGCAATCGAGGTACGTGAAGCTAACGAGGGAACAAGAAGCGCCATCCGAGGATATCACCCCTGGAGAGCTCAACCAGCCCATTCAAATTCCTCAGGTCCTTATTCTAATTTTATTTTTTGGGTGCAGATTTTGTGAAAAAAATGATAATTCTGGATGTTGGTTTTCGAATTCTTAGAGATTTCGTGAGCATGCGTTCTCATAGCTCATCGGTTTGGTTATAATCAACACTCATGCAGACGTTTTCTTGTTGTTCTTTTGACAGTTAGGTGTCGAGAAGTGCTTGGAATGTGGGCAACCCCTACCAGAAAGATACCAACCCCCAGCTGATGAAGATTGGACAACCGGGATATTTGGTTGTGCTCAAGATCCTGAGAGTTGTAAGAGTTCATTTGCTCTTATCACTTTTTCACTTTCATTGATTACCTTAATCACACAAGATGAACAATGTTATATGTGACCCGATGTTTTAGAAAAGTAGGAAGTTCATTGCTTGCAAGATGCAACCTTTTCTCACCTCATCAGGTCATAAGGCTTTGCTTAGCAAACAAGGAGGAGTGTTTTATTGTTCTAGCTGAGATGATAATTTGTTTATATTTTGGATGAAAAAAGAAAAATTTCTTAGATTTCGGAATATGTGGTCGAGTGGTATGAGATAGAAGTCACTACCTTCATGGATTATCTCCTGTTACTCACACTTCCATGGTCAGTAGTTAATAATTCGTTACTTTTTGTGTTTGTGCTGCAGGCTGGACTGGACTTTTCTGTCCATGCGTGTTGTTCGGGCGTAATGTTGAAACCATACGAGAAGAAATTCCTTGGAACAATGCTTGTGTTTGCCATGCCATGTGCGTTGAAGGAGGAATTGCAGTTGCAGCAGCAACAGCGTTTTTTCACGGTGTTGATCCCAAGACCTCAGTTCTCATCTGCGAGACATTGCTATTTGCCTGGTGGATGTGTGCAATCTACACAGGTCTGTTTAGGCAGTCGTTGCAAAAGAAATATCATCTCAAGGTGAATTTCAGTTCCTATATATTTTTTTTTCTTCAAATTACATGCAAAATAAATCAGAAAACGCGAACGAATAGGATGGAAAATCAGATATATTTCCTTTATCTTCTGCTTTTATAAGGCGAAATTTATGTTTTCTGACATTTAATGTACAGCTCATGATGGAGAATTGATGTCTTAGGATGAAATGTTGATTTGGGACTCTCCAAATGATAGCCGGAATTAATATGCAGACGTGCATTGGGCGGGCATGTCTGTGTGTGTTTGTGCCTCTGGTTCAAGCTGGACTTAAATTGCCTTTTCAATATTCTCAATCAATCATCTATATCGTCTGCTACGAATCTTGCTCGCTGATTTTACATAGAAGATTATCGTTTCTTAATCGGTGTTTACTTTGACATCATGTACTTTCATATATTTGCTTGACGTTTCAGATAAAGCAAAACTTTCAATTATCGACGAGTTTCCCTACATACCATGAGAAAAAGAAGGATTTCGAGCCCTTAGAGCTTTTTTCGTAAGTAACTTTTTACCTATCTGCAGGATTCACCGTGTGATCCATGCATGGTGCACTGCTGCATGCACTGGTGTGCTCTATGTCAAGAGCACAGGGAGATGAGGAACCACTTATCTGATAACACAACCACAACAATGACCGTTGTTTCCCCTCCACCGGTTCAAGAGATGGACTCCGGCGAGAAGAAGGATGCTGAAGCTTCGTCTTCAGAGTCTCCTGGTCATCCAAACACCAATATGGAGTTGGCTCTGCAGCCTGTGTAGCATTCCCTTTCGATATAAAACGAGTCAATAGAAGATCAACCGGTGCAGAATTTTGATGACCCGGATTTCGTTGTTAGGATGCGAAATCTGCAGGTTTTTGAGAAATTTTTTTTGCCAATGAGGATTGTTATTGGCGTCAATTTGAATATCAATTTCATTGCACCCATGATTTTGCCTTATATTTTGTCACATCTTTGCAATATTAACAAATTTTAATTCAAAAAGCAAGCTAGAAAATTCAAGGATTTTTCCTTGTATTATCAACCTCTTTTGATGGTTGTTTATGCTGGAATCTCTAGGCCTCGTTATGTCTTATTGTAGTTTCTCTTTGTTAGAGTTCATCACTATTGTTTTTTTACACAAGTGATAGAGCGGAGGGAGGAAATCAAACCAAAGACTTCAAGTACGTGAGTAAAGGCAATCACTGTGCGTTCTTTATTCTTTTTAAAAAAGGGACCAATGGGTGGTTTCGTCGTGGCAGTCTATCCTTTTAAGAGTTAGGTTGGAAAGATTCACAAATGCATTTTAACTTCTCCCTGATTATCACCGTGTAAATTATCAATGCCAAAATTCAAACTCAAGACTTGCCATGTGAAATACAATATAAAATTTGTTCCCAATCAATGCCACCACCGGATCTCAAGTCCGAAATTCCGATCCGACCCGACATAACTTTTCTACTTTTGCCACCTCCTTCCCCGAGGCTCTCTTAAGCATTTTCGCCCCCAAAACCAGGAGCAGCAAGACCGCTAAAGGGTTCAGGGTTTTACCTCAAACCCCCCCCCCCCCATAAACCCTAAACCAGAGACCCCCACAACCATGACGCGCTTCCCTCCACCCTCCACGCCACGCCTCCTTTACACCCTCTACAGATCTAGAACGGCGCCGTCTCCTCCTTCCCCGTCCCCATCGGCAGCTTCTTCCCTCCTCATCGGCTCCTTCCACTTCCGTCAATTCTCCTCCGGCAACCTCGCGCGCGCCAAGGAGGACAAGGAGCCATGGTGGAAGGACTCCATGGACAAGCTTCGGAACATCGGAATCTCGGCCCACATCGACTCCGGCAAGACCACTCTCACCGAGAGAGTTCTGTTTTACACCGGGAAGATCCACGAGATTCACGAGGTTCGAGGCAGAGACGGCGTGGGTGCGAAAATGGATTCCATGGATTTGGAGAGGGAGAAGGGGATCACCATTCAGTCTGCTGCCACTTACTGTACTTGGAATGGCTATCAGGTGATTGCAATTGGGTTTTTCCTTTTCGTTACCCTGAAAAGTAATGGAATTTGAATGAAATGGGACTTATTTTAATGATTGGCAATGGTTTTTAATAAGTTGGGTTGTTCAGTTTTAAGAATTTGTTGAAAATGGAGAGGTGATCGCTTTGATATGCTGCTAATTACTTGTATGCTGCCAGAGTCAGTGTGGGTATCAATTACGAAGTTCTTTTCCATGTTGGTTTCATTTAATTAAGAAGTACTAAAATTATGAGTCGAAAGAAAGATAAATATATCTTCTGAATCAGTGAAAAATTTACTATACAAGAAGATTGAGTTGCAATGCTGTTTTTTGCTTCTGTCTACTATACTTTGAATGCGTAAGAGGCTTGAGTGATGCAAGACAGGCTGTGGAAGTTGGACCTGGGTTTTAGATTTTGGTTAAGACCTGGGAATAACAAAAGGAGTAAAGAGCAAAATAAAATGTTACATTAGTTTGGCATTAGTTGGAACAACCGGTATTAAGTACTGTATGCTGCTAGAAAAGGAAATAAATTGTTGGAAATTAGCAAGTAAGATTGAGATCATGATTTCGTTTCTTGCCTTCTCTTCAGTAAAACTATTTATTGTCGAATATTGTCGAAAAGTTAAGTGAGGTTAGGAGTCTTACTTTTCATTCCAGAATGAAATAATCTCTCTCTTTTTTTTTTCATCATTTGCATGTTCTTATGTATCTTATAGATCCTGTATTTTGGTATTGCAGATTAACATAATTGACACCCCAGGTCACGTTGATTTCACCATCGAGGTTGAGAGAGCTCTGCGTGTCCTTGATGGTGCCATTCTTGTCCTTTGTAGTGTTGGTGGAGTGCAAAGTCAGTCAATTACTGTTGATCGGCAAATGAAAAGATACGAGGTTCCAAGAATTGCATTTATAAACAAACTTGACCGAATGGGAGCAGATCCCTGGAAAGTTCTGAATCAGGTACATTTTGAAATCAACTAATCATGGAAATATCACAAAATTTGGGGTTTATTCGTCGTTTTTCTGCAAGCGAACATAGAGCATTCAGTACTGTTTCCTTTGTCATATTGAACATAAACCAGTAATTAATGTCTCAGGATACTGGCCATCTTATTGTGCCCTGAGCTTTTCAGTTATGTAGTACACCCTGCAGAAGGAATTGATTTTGATGGTTACGTGTTTTGATATCTCTATTTCTAGGGATGTAAAAGTCTTTGGTTGATATAATTGTTGTTTGTCAGATTTAGGTGATTAAATTAAGTAGGAATTATGAATAGTCTTTAGTTGGATTGATTGGCATCAGCTTCATTTTCAGTAGGTTGCCGAATGCATGGTTGTAAATTTGTGCAACAACCTGATACAGAGGCGTAGGTTTTCTTTTTGTTTTAAACATTTAAAGTAGCAAGCTAAATGCCACAAGTTTCAGCTAAGAATACTTAACAAGCTAGATTCCCTTGATGATTGAGTTATGAAATTTGATAGGATAGTTGTACATGATACATAAATTATTTTTATTTTTGAACCTTAAAACTGTTGTGGTAATGAAATTGATTCTCCTGCAGGCACGGGCTAAGCTCCGCCATCACAGTGCTGCCATGCAAGTTCCAATTGGGTTGGAAGAAGATTTTAAGGGTCTTATTGACCTTGTGCAGATGAAAGCTTACTATTTTCATGGTCCCAATGGGTCCGTTTTTAATACTATTGTGTTTTCATTGTTCCTTTTGAATGTGTATTGCCATTTCTAATTTTTTCCTATTGTCTTGTTGCATCTTTTAGTGAAAACATTGTTACTGAAGAAGTTCCTGCTGATATGGAGGAGTTCGTCACAGAAAAGAGGCGTGAGCTAATTGAAGTTGTATCTGAAGTTGATGACAAACTAGCTGAAGCATTCCTTGATGATGAGCCCATATCACCTACTGATCTTGAGGTACTTTGGATCAAATTCAAAAGAAAAATTGTGAAAAATGAAATGTGTTATGGAGTATTTTGTCTCGATTTATGTTGGTTTTGGTGTTTGGTTATTTTTTACCATGGTGATGGTTTGGTATATTTTTCTAAGAAATTCTAAGTGGTGATATTTCTACTGTTTGTTTTTGTTCAATGGAAATTCGTTGTGCATCTATATCTTTCTTTCTGTGCTCATGAAGTTTGAAAACTTCTGTTCTCTTTTGAGTAGGAAGCTGTGCGGAGGGCTACTGTAGCAAGGAAATTTATCCCCGTGTTCATGGGTAGTGCATTTAAAAACAAGGTACTGTCTTTTGATCTTTAATTTTTATTTTAAATATCTATTCCTTTTGATTGATTTGTGCATAAGTGGTTACATTATCTTGCCATTCCCCATAACTCAAATTCAAACTGCCCTTGGGTTAACGTCTTCAAATAATTTTGATTGCTGAAGATTACACTGCATTATATTTTATACAGTAGTGGCTCCTAGATTAAATAATATGTTGTTTCTGAACCGATAATTTGGTGATTGCCCAGTGGGTATGGATATCTAATCTGTCTGTATTTACTGTTTAGGGACTTTTCGCTCCTCTTATAAATAGTATATATCCTTTTTCACCAGTTGCAAATGATTCTGTATATGCTACTTGCTTGTGCCTCTGAATAATTTTCTTCATCTTCTGCCATTTATGGATTACAGGGTGTACAGCCACTTTTGAATGCTGTTCTTAATTATTTGCCTTGTCCGACTGAAGTCAGTAACTATGCTCTTGACCAGACTAAGGATGAAGAGAAGGTATTAAGTTGATGGAAATTAGTTCTGATATCTTTTTTCATTCTCCAAACCTGCCTGGGTAATAAAAGAACTTCCACAATGATGTAGGTTACATTGGGTGGAACTCCGGATGGGCCTCTTGTAGCATTGGCTTTCAAATTGGAGGAAGGGCGTTTTGGTCAGTTAACATATCTAAGGTATCCCCCCAGATGTGCTGTAACGGTAGCATAGCTTTTCTTATTTTTGTATTTATGTATCTAACAATTATTTTGTTGATGTAGAATCTATGAAGGTGTCATTCGGAAGGGTGATTTTATTTTTAACATTAATACCGGTAAAAGGATTAAGGTGAGTTCAAGGAATATTCTGTTGCGTCTCATAGTTCTCATTTCAAATTAAGCCTTTGTGCCTTGTGGATCTTAATTTGCAATATTTGTATCGTGCTACCATTTTTTTTTCATCTATCTTCTGGAATTGATTTTTCATATCAATTATGTCTTGCTGAGTTTGATTTTCGCGAAACAGGTTCCTCGTTTGGTTCGGATGCATTCCAATGAGATGGAGGTTAGTTTTATGTTTAAAGTTATTGCAATTTAGACTTTAAATAGCCATTTCACTGATGTCATCATTTTTTGTGGTGCATTTCATCTTCAGGATATTCAAGAGGCACATGCTGGACAAATCGTTGCTGTTTTTGGCGTGGACTGTGCATCAGGTTTGACTTCTTTTCAAGGGCAGGAATCACAGTTTTTCTCTTTTAAAATGGATAAAGGAAAGATATACATTTACTCGATTTACACTAGCTGCGTTTTCCTCGTATGAGATTAAGAGGAAGGAGTAGTCTCATTTAATTTAAGAGAGGGATATGTCAAAATGGAAGTTAAATAGAGTCATAAAAAAACTAAATTTTCTGAGTCAAAGTTAAGTCATAACTCTCTAATTGTGTGCATGACAACTAATTTGGGCGAAGCCTTATGACCTGGATATTAACATTCTATTTGTCTTTATTTGTTGTTTTTTAATTTACATTAATATCTTCTGAGACATGTTTTCTTGTATCTTCAGGAGATACCTTTACTGATGGGTTGGTTAAATATACAATGACTTCTATGAGTGTCCCTGAGCCAGTGATGTCGTTAGCTGTTCAACCAGTTTCAAAAGATTCTGGAGGACAAGTGAGCAGATTTCGTTCGATATTGTGTGTTGATGAGTTGTTTG